CTCAACGGTGCCACCCAGACACCGTCTCGACAGATCCTCCATGGGCCAACCTTAGTAAAGATCGTCGCAGAACTTTTTCCATATTACAAAAGCGCCATCCCTGGGATTCAAACATGGGATCTTCCCATAACGTTTGGTGAGGGTGACAACTAGACCACTTCACTAAGTCGCCACACCTCTCTAAATTTTTAACTTTAAAAGGCCATTAGAACAGTTTTATAATATGAATTTTTTTATCTTAACACTAACTAATTAGAATGATTTTTTAATCGAATTTTCTAATCCTAACATTAATTATAAGAGCTATTAAAATAATTTTGAATACAAACTTTCTCATACTAACACTAGCCATAAAGACCTGCTAGAATGATAACTTTCTTATCCTAGCAATAATCATAAGAAGCTGTAGAAGCTATTAGAATGATTTATATAGTAATATGAACTTTCTCATTCTAATATCAACTACTGTATAAAGAGCTGTTGGAATGATTTTATAATACAAAATTCTTATCTTAACACTAATCATAAACAGCTATTAGAATGATTTTATAATACAAACTTTCTCATCCTAACACTATCTATTAGAGTTCCAATCTGTTAGGTGTTTATTCAGATAATTATCAAATATCCAGATCTGAATTTATTTTCCAGATAATTATTCGAATATTTTTCAGATTATCCAGATAATTCAGATGCAGATGAATTATTAAATTTTTTTATCTAAATTTATAATTTTTATTTATTTATAAAAAAATTGATAATTGCCTATTTATAAACTTATATATATTGATAAGAAAATAAACTATTTAGTCAAATAAAATATCTATTTTTTTATAAAACTACTAATGCGTATGATCATAATTTACTATTTATTTTTTGTATTTGGAAAAATGCTATCGATACTATGCCGATTTCTTTTTAAAAAAATCAAATGCTCAAATGTTGTAGGCTAAAGGCTTGTTCGTTTAATAGACATTATATTTCCAGCCTCATTAAACAACCTCTTACTAGGTGTTGAGGTAGCTAAAATAGCTAGATATTTCCATGCTAAATAAGCCAAAACTGGAAAATGATTTTGGTTATTTCTCCACCATTCAAATAGACATTGGTCATAGAAAGCTTTTAGCATTCTAATATAGTCAGAGATTTCATCTATATCAGTATTATTTGATCGATACATAGAGGCTAATAGTTTGCTTGTAGATCGTAATAGTTGTTTAGTAGTTAGTATATTTGTTTGATTTTGATTTTGTTTATACAATTCACATAGTGAATCATAAGTTCTAGATTTAAAAGATTCAGTAGCAAAACTTAATGTTTTACATCAAGGATCAAGTAATGCAGCTAGCATTCCTTCTTCTGAAGGCACTTGCCAATAATAATTCATAGCATTATATAGAGCCATTTTTATCCTTGTTTCGAAATTTGCACAGTCTTGGGGAATATTTAGTTGTTTTTAAAAATTCATTGATTCAATATCACCCACTTGAGCTTCATTTAAAATTGTATCATTAAAAACACTATTATCATCTTTATAATCTACTTGTCGTAGCTCACAATCATCAGTAAGTATAATATTATTGGTAATTGTATTGATTGCACTATACATGAAGCTTATAGTTGCATATTTACTGCCTCCTAAAAACTCTGTTGCTTCTGCAAATGGTTTAAGAATTGTAACAAGACTTTTAATAGCTTCCTACTCAATATTTGTAAGATTGATTTTTTTTAATTTTGCACTCTCTTTACATGTATGATGATCTTCATTTAAGGAAAGTGTAGTAATTATAAGATTAATTATATTTCTAATTTTAATTAACTGTTGTCAAGCAAGATAAAATGAGTTTCATCTTGTTGGTGTATCAGCAATTATATATAATTTATGATCATTTTGAGAAAGATTTTAATTATATTTAAAAGAATTAATATTACATTAATAAAATTTTAATTAATTACTATTTATAAAATAAATAGCATACTTCAGTCAGGGAATATACCAAAAATGGACATTGAAGATTACACCTTTTATAGTATAAGATGTCGATCAGAAAATTCTAGATTTTATAGGACATGAGTATTAACCAATCAAATTAATTAATACCTCTGTATACTATAGAATGAATAACTTTAACGAAGTTATAAGCAAAGCTTCCTTTTTATTAGTATTCTAAATAATAATTTATTCTACTTAGTTGTTGCTACTCTTAACTATTTTATATTACAACATTTAATTTGTACAATTAAACAATATCACTGTATATATAGTGTTATTTAACCATATTATCTATATACCGAATTGCAATCTAAAGCTACTTTAAATATCTTTAAGTTCTCTTATGCAAGCTATATTGATACCTATATAAGATTTAAATTAAAATAAAAAAGTTGTAGTATTTAAATCTTCGTTTAAATCTAAATACAAAATATATATATTTAGTCATCCTAAGTTGACTAATGACAATTCTTAACCTCCAATACGAAGTAAATACCTTTTTTTAGCTCTCATTTACTTTGGCAAAAAGAGTTTGCCACCGTTGATTAATTTTGATTATCAAAACTAGATGTCTTGAAGTATGTATTCAAAGCTTACTAGATCTTAATAACTATCAAATTTTTTTTCAAATTGTACGATGTTTGAGAAGTAAAAGTTATGTGAAAGCCAATCAAATTCAGAAATCTGGTTGTAGATCATTCTAGAATGTGATTTCTTAATTTGGTATATCCCCTAACTGTACTTACAATATCTTCATCACATTTAAACTTTTTTTGGGCTTCTAAAAGCCGTTGAGTTTGTTTAGGTGTAGTAAAATATAGCATAAGTCTTTTAGCCTGTGCAACTAAATTTTCTACTTCCAAAAGACCTTTTCCTATAACTAACTGAAAAGTGTAGGCTGTACATGGTATACGAATAATATTAGGTAATAAATTTAATGCTTTAACCATATTACTACCATTATCTGTAGTAATTGTAAATATTTTATCATAAAGATTCCATTCATTAAAAATTAAAATTAATTCTTTAGCAATTATCTCACCAGTAAGCTAATAAGAGAGATATTTAATAGAAAGTAAATTCTCTTGCAATTGAAAATTATCATTAATATAAGAACAGGTAATACCCAAATAACCTAATTTATTTTACCCAGTCTATAAATCACAGATTAATGAATATGATTTAATATTCTTTTCAAATAAATTTAATAAAAACTGTTTGGTGTTTCCATATGCTTCTGAAAGTAATTGCCGACAATATCTTTTACTTGGAAACTGATATGATGGGTCAAATTTCATAATAAAATCTTTAAGACCTTTATCATTTCAAATGCTTATTGGTTGTGAATCTTTAATTAAAAATTCAACAAATTTTTGATCTTAACGTCGTTTAAGCTCTGGGTTATTGTAAATCATTTGATCAATTTGAAGCTGTGAAGGCTGAGATTTTTTTGTTTTTCTTTATGTAAATTTTCAGTAATACTATATCGTGTTGCTAAGTGTCCAATATAGTTTCCTGTTGAACTATCTACTGATCTCATAATATGTCCACATATTTTACTTTTGTTGTTTTTATAAACTTCAACTAAACAACTTACAATTGCTCTATAAGGTGGTACAGATTCATAATGTTGATAATATGGCCAAATCCAACTTCACCCTGAATGCTTTATAAGAGGAACTAGTTTGATTTTTTTTAAATTTGGTAATTTTAATGCATTATTTGGTTTTTCTGGTAAGGTTGAGTAAGACTCAGAATTATTATACTCATTAGATACATTATTGTTGTTACTATTAACCAAATTATAGTACTCATCATCGCTATTAATTAGGTTATTACATTTATCAGAGACAAATTCTTTAGATTGAGACAATTTTAAGCTTGACATGTGTGTATTAGATATTTTTTGTTTTTTGTGTTTTATGTCAAAATGTAAAGAAGGAACAGTATTATCTTCTTTGTTAGAAGAATTACCACTAGACATTTTTATAATTATTTATTTTTTTTTATTAAAAATATAAAAAATTGCTTATTATTTATATTTGAAATTTACTTTATTACAAATTATGAACAATTCTAATTTATATAATATTTCAAGTTTCGGAGTATTACTCATATTAATATCTTCGCTTATTATAAATCTTTATTATAGAATTAATATTTAGCACTATATAAATTATCTTCAACAAATAATACTCTCTATAATTACAATCTGAATCTTATTCACAATATACTACACATCTTGCTTAATTCTCAAATAATTCCTAGGAGTTTATCGCTTTCATATAATATAGTATCCAGTTTCTTATATAATATCTATAATACTCTTATTCATAGCTATTAAATAGTCTTTGTATCTTTTTAGAAGTTTTTAAGCTTCTAAACAATTAAGTAAATGGAGTAACAACGATGAAGCAAAAAAGATACTAGTATTATTCACAAATAGTTTTTTAAATCATACTATACTATTCTTAGCTAGCTGTTACTACTTTAATTATATGCATATAAAAGGTTAAACTAGACAAAATAGACAATCATCATATATCGCAATTTTCTAGGTAAATTACTTGTATGATTTGTATATATCTTTTTATAGTTTAGATTTAGTGTCTTGTTGAATCCAGGTATCTTAAAGGTAATACCGAGTTTACAGATAAAGAATTGTAGTAAAATAGTAATAAGAAACAATCACAAAATCGATAACAACAAAGAAGCAAAAAGGATACTATTTTTACAGTATTACAAACTAGTTTCTTTAACCTTACTATTCTTAGCTAGCTGTTACTACCTCTTTAAGCAAATTGATTAATATGCCAACTTACTAATGCTAATAAAATATATAGGTTGTCTTAAGGAAATCAGGTTCAAATTATGATTATGTAATTCTGATATAAACCTGGTTCGAGATAAGAATTTGGCGCAAATAGAAAACCTTTAGGATTCAATCAGATTAATATAATTAAGATACATTGGTAAATCGGTAGCTTAATAGAAAAATCGATAGAGCTATAAGATAATTTCCTATAGCTCTATCGATTTTTTTATTAAGCTGTTAATTTACCAATACTTAAACGTCTATATAAACTCCTAAATATCCTCCTGTTTGCGCCAAATTCCTGTTTTGACCTAGGTTTATATCGGGATTACATGATAAACTAATATGCATTTACACAGCTTTAATTACATTCACATAAAAGGCTAAATGGAGATCATAGATCGAGATCAAGATGTAATTTCTAGATAAATTATTTGTGTAATTTGTATGTATATTTTGGGTTCTTAGTGCTTGTTGAATTCAGAGTAATACTGGTTTACAGATAAAGAATTGAAATTAAATTATCAATGAATTGTGATAAAATATTAAAGGACAATCACAATGTTAGTAGAGATTATATGCCTTTTCATGTGAATTGCTAATGAAAAAAAAGAGTAAGAGATGGAATTAATTATGGAATAATTTAGTTAAAGTTAATACGTATATCGTACAGAATATGTCTATTCTTCCTGTTCACCCTGTAGCTAAGAGGAGCTCTTTATCGCATCTTTACCCACTATAGAATATGTTTATTTTTCTGTTTGTCCTGTTGCTATATATCAATGCTAGAGATAACATGCGATGTTATATAAAATATGCATGTTACTGCATAATATCATTTGAGATTTTATAATTTTCCATAAGAAAATATTGGAAATAACCCCAAATTTTTGCATAGCCAAACCTAAGCAAGCATGTGATTTGTATTATACTACGAGGCTAAAAGAATAGTTGATGTTTATTTTTTTAAATCCTGTTTTATAAGCCTTATTTTATCTTACACAAATAAATAAATTACATGACTCACAAGATAAATTTTATAGCCCTAATTGTTGCGGTTTTATTATATGTAAGCCTGGACATATTTTTGAATGCATTGTTTTTGCTAGCTTTTGTCAGTTTCATACCTTTTTTCTGCTTTGTCGCCTTTCATCAATTCATACTTTTCATTATTCATTGTTTCGCATGTTTTAATTGTTAATAAACGAAACTGTTCTCAAGCATCTAAATCAATTTATTAAAGAATGTTTGTGATGACGCTCAAGCATCACAATCAATGGCAATATTTATAGAATTAAATACTTGAGCATACTCTTTTTCTATTTTTCTTCTTCGTTATACCGCCTAAAACGTCTAAAAAAAATCCAATAAAAAAAACTTCTGTTCAACCAACTGCTGAATCTTCAGCTTTGGTTACACCAGCTTCTCCCTTTAATGATTTTACCAATATTAACCTTTTGCCGGAACAGCAGCAACTTATGGAATAATTAGCGAAAGTTGCATTGTAGCAACAAGAAGTAAAAAAAAACTTATTAAGTTTATATGAGCGAAAAATGGAATAGCAGTATTCATTATGGTTTGGTTAAATGTTAATAGATGGGTTGTGTTAATTATGTTCATATCAAGGTGTTGATTATTTGTTTTACAGCTGTTTTTATAAATTCTGAGACACTCTAAAAAATTTGCCAAATTCGATAAGTTATTTATCTCGGCGCTACACATATATAAATGCATATGTACTTGTTACTAAGATTTTTCAAAACATATTTGTTGTAAAATAGTAGTTGAAATAGCTTAGAAAGTTTCAGTTAGAGTAATTGCTAAACATTTGGGTGTTAACAGGTCTTCCATGGATCGAGCTTTCAAACAATTTCAAAGGTATTTTGAACTTTATTATAATTATTAAGACATCTTCGACAAATATTAATAAAATCTTGACCTCTAATTTCAACTTGTGTTGCATTTTTTTACAACCTCTGATCTAAACTTTTTTTTTATTAGTGCCTACTCGTGTATATAGAGTGTTACGTACTAAAAAGGCAAATTTTCAATTTTTTTTTTCAATTTTTGTATAGATACAGTATATTTCTATAAACAAATTTGCTATACTTTAAGTTACTTAAGATAATTATATAATAAAAAGATCCACAAAATGAACTTGAAGTAAAAAATTTTTTTTATTTATAGATCATTTAAATTTAAATATGTTTGTATATTTATTAAGAAAGTCCAACTTATGTTCTAAACTTTTTTAGTGAAGAACCACTAATTGGCAAGAACAGTTTTTAGCATAAATTTTTGTATCATACATATCGGATAGGGCAAAAAAAAAAAATTTTAATAAAGTGTTGAAAGAGTTGCGCTGCTGTAATAGTAACTCAATAATTTCTGATCATGCACTAATCATGCTGAAATCAATAACTTATTGAATTCGACTAGCAAACTTTTTTAAGGTGTCCCGGAATTTATGAAAACAGCTGTAAAAGCTTCGAGCATTAAAAATAAAGTGGCTATTTTTTTAGACCAGGTTGAAATTTGTTGTAAATTCATTGTTTATTATGTTTGATATGTTAAAATGTAAAAGTAGTGCTTGACTGATCTTTATCAATGGTAAATTTTTGGAGAAAAAAGGTGGTTTGTATCTCGTTGATTTGTTGATTGAATTGGTAACTCACTTGATTAATTTATTTAATTTTTGACTAATTAAAAATTTATGTCTGATCCTTTGAGTGAGGTGTTTGAGAACGGCCTGATACATTAATTTATATAAATTAACCAATCAAATAAATATCCTATCCGGATATAACTGTTATCCTTTTATCTGAATAGGATACAAAACCGGGTACAGACAACTCCCGCTATAGTCACACCCGAAATAGTCACATTTTCTTGAGAATATATACCAATCATTTAAAGTAATATAAAATTAACTCTCGCTATAATCACATGATGTGACTATTGTTATGTTTCTCTCACTATAGTCACATCAAGTTTCTGCCAGACAGTGTGACTATAGCAGGAGTTGACTGTATTAGATTTTGTTAAAGGTTACAACCTTTTGGGTAAAGAGTTATCCAGATATGAGTACTAGTTTAGCTAAATTTGTTGATAAAATACAAATATTAAGAATACTATAATAATTATCTACACATGCAATAAAAAGACTATTATATATAAAAATTTTAATAAAATTAGTATTTATATTTGATAAATAAATTATTTAAAAAATATTTTAACTACATGATCTTGAATATATTTTTTTATACTATGTAGTGCTTCTCACTTAGTTTATTAATTTTATTAAAAGCTATTTGGTATATAGTATATAATCTCATATTAGCTATTGTATTAATACAATAAGCTAAGACTCCAGATTTTGTAAAAAACAATTCTAGTATAGCTTTGACACTGCTTACTTGTTTTTTTTTGCAATCTAGCTATTTCATAGCACAATACTATAATTTTTTCTTTTATATTTTCAAAGCTTTGTCTTTAGAGTTCATTGTATTATATAAAATATTAAAAAATTCTTGAATCTTGGAATCTTTATATTTAATTAAATTAATATTTAATTTTAGTGAGTTTTTCTCTCTTTGATCTTGATAAAAAACTTTAGTCATTCATACTATCTGATTATTGAAATATTTTAAAAAATTGCTTTATAATATATAATTAATATTTTTTTTAATTTGGCAGTCTTTTCTTTACTTTTTATTAGTACTCTAAGGTATTGTAGTTACAAATATACATATATACATTTGCAACTATCTAATTTATTATAGTTAAGACTCACCTGGTTATTAACTTAGTATCTATATGCAACTTGCTATATAAGATTTTATCTCCTTATCAACCATCTTACAGCAGGCCAGTTTTTAAACTCACTGGATGGTTCTCAAACCTATTTTTATTATATACATCAGCAAAAATATATATGCGTAAACTTTCGTAAGTTTTTACGGTGCGTAAGAAAATCGTAAACCTATGTAAAAT